TGTGGGGTGTAAATATACTCGTCTAATTTCTATATTATGACGTCATCAGAGGCGGCCATCTTGAATTTCATAATATTCAGGAAATAGTAGATATTGAATTGATGTTTGAACTTATCTGCAATTTTTTTATTTTTTATCTTTTTATCCTCATTCCAAATGATCAGAAAAGAGGAAACCAACAATAAAACAGGAGAAAGTGCTAAATTATTACTATATTACTATACTATATAGTAATAAAACGCATGTGAACAGTAGCCTACTTTTTGATCAGTAATATTCAGGAAATAATAGATATTGAATTTATGTTTGAACTTTTTATTTCAATTAGCCATTTGGCGATTTTCTCTCATTATGGGCTAATTTTCATTTTTGGGTGAACTAACCCTTTAAAGGTAGGAGTATTTTATGCTCACCAAGACTGCATTTATGTTATCAAAAACACAGTTAAAAACTGGAGATGTCAAAAATTTTATTACAATAATAATAATAAAAAATTTCTAGTTTAATCTATCTGAACCTAAACCTTTGAACACCTGTGTAAATATCATGTGGCTTGCATTTCACATTTATACATTATACTATGCTTTTGACATGCAATTTTTAATGTAGGTGGTCGCAAAGCACTTGACAAGAAAGAAAGGAGAAAAATTTAAATGGAAACTATTACAGCAAGAAACAATTTAAAACAATTTAAGTAGCCCTCAAAGGCTGAAACTGCCCTATGAATGTTACCAACAAATACACTATTGCTTCTTGCTCCTGTTCACTGCCTGTCTGCTCTGCTGCTTACCTTGTCCCTCCTGCGCTCCAGCTCCTGTATCTCCGCGCTCAGCTCCTTCACTTTGGCCTCGTTCTGCTTCATGTTCTCCTGCAGCTGTGCGATAGAGCTCTGCATCTCCTGCAGGTCTTCAGTAGACTTCAGCTTGGTCTCCTCGGCGCACACAAACAGGTACGCCACATACAGTCGAATCAAGTGCTCGATCTCACGCATGAGCTTCTGGTACTCCAGGTAGGACGCACGTTCCTGAGGAGAAGCAAGGGAGATGGATAGGATGTGACAAAGATGATAAGTATCTATTGTATAAGTCATATGTATTCGGTCCACAGTTAGGAACTGACGCTGTTAGAAAACGAAAAACAAAATGCTGTTCACAGCTGCACATAAAGAACCAGTGGCACACAATAATGTATAGTCTCGCTCTACTATACATGATTTATTAATAATTGACAAATTCATTATTTATATAAAAAGGTGTAAATAAATAAATAAATAAATAAATAATGCATGATTTTCTAATAGCATGAATCTAATATACACGTATACAATAAATTATAAATAAGCACTTTTTAATTTTTTTTGAACACATGCCTCCTTCAGTTTCTCCATAGCAGGGGTGATCTCCTCATCCAGGATCTGTTTCACACAAAAACATCCAAAGATGAAATTGCTGGTTGCATCAATTGTTGGGTGATTTAAATAAAAAAGTAATAATGAAATAAATGTACATACAGTCTGAATCTCTTTCAGCTTGGCATCTTTCTTCTCAATAGTTTTCTGAGCACTGATCTTCTTGCATTCGTACATCCTGGTACCTGCCGCCTCCTCAATCATGGCCAGAATCTGTGAAAAAAATAAAAATAAAGTCCAATTATTTAAAATTTCACAGAAGAAAACAAAAACTTACATCAATGAAACTGAATGTTTGTATCATTTCATCCATCAGTAAAGAGCAAATCAATTGGACGCTTTATTACTACAATCAAAATGTGAGTAGATCACGACCAAGTATATTTAAATGACAAACATCTCACCTCAGGAGGCTTCATGTTTAAGACCTTGGTGATTCTCCCCTGAAATAAACATACAATTGGGGTGATTATGAAATGTGAACAATAACTACATATGACACAAGTGCTTAACTGTCTAAAAATCCAAAAAGAAATTGGTAAAAACAAAAAAATCAACATGAAATCAAAATGAACCCTATTTACTTGTCATGCATTTATGACAAACAAATTGTAACATTACACAAGTTAAATAAGTTGCAAATTCATTTTCAAATGAAAACGCTGTTGTTAAAGGGGTCCTATTATGCTTTTTCACTTTTTCAACTTTAGTTAGTCTGTAAATTTGCTGTTTGAGCATAAAAAAGATCTGCAAAGTTGCAAAGCTCAAAGTCCACTTCAAAAGGAGATATTTTATTTAACAGAAATCACTTTTCAAAAACTACAAAGAACGACTCGTTTGGACTACAACGCATATTTTCCGGGATTTGTGATATTACAAATATCGACGAATGGGACGAGACCTGGTTGAGCTGCACTAGAGAAGGCAACGAGTGTTATCACTATGTCGGAGACACGCTAGCTTTCTCAAAGACTTTGTAAAAGAGTAAAATAGGACCCCTTTAAGAATATGATTATCCAATACTTTTATAAAAAATCTTTTCAGGCCACATAACCCGAGAAGTCTTAAATCAGTGTATTATGGTGGTTACCTGCATGATAAGAAAGTGAGGGTTGTTGACATTCAAGCCAACTGAACAAAACAGATCCTGGACTCGCAGGTTGTTTGCATTCACGCCGTTGATAAGGTACTTGTTGCGTCCACCTATGACCACCTGCACAACAAACGATAAAATCACAAGCTGTGTAAGTCACTCTTTGACGCGTGCTACTAGCCATCAGTGAGAGTGGAGCAGACACTGATCTCAAGGTGAATACCTGTCGTGTTATGGTAATCTCATCGTGTGTCTCAAACCCAAGTGGACTCTGTTTCTTGTTGGAGTTGTCAAAGGTGATGGACACAGTTGCTTTGGTGATCCCAGCCAGACCATTTTTGTACACCAGATCTTGGAGATTAGTGGCACGAACCTACAAGGTTTGACAAACCCAAACAAGCAGTATTACATTTTAGCTTTTAAACTCTGCAACCCACTTCCATACTTAATTAATCATGCTCTGTATCCATATTAGACTGAAAACATCTATTCTGATTAAAGTTTTATTTCTTTCATTTTTTTTTTCATTTTGTTGTTGTTATACAAGTGATTTAGAATACATAACAACTGAAAATCGTTTTGTTTATTAAATAAGCATAAACAATTAAACGAAATAAATAAACAAACAAACCGCTGCCAGATTTAGACATATGGCTACGTGTATATGATATTTCATGTATTAAAACTGACCTGTGATAGGTTAGATATCCCCAGCAGAAAGCAGATGGAATCCAGTATATTTGACTTTCCACTGCCGTTCAGTCCGGTGATGGCGTTAAAAAACGGATCAAATCCGTTCTATTCTGATTAAAGTTTTATTTCTTTCATTTTTTTTTTTCATTTTGTTGTTGTTATACAAGTGATTTAGAATACAGAACAACTGAAAATCGTTTTGTTTATTAAATAAGCATAAACAATTAAACGAAATAAATAAACAAACAAACCGCTGCCAGATTTAGACATATGGCTACGTGTATATGATATTTCATGTATTAAAACTGACCTGTGATAGGTTAGATATCCCCAGCAGAAAGCAGATGGAATCCAGTATATTTGACTTTCCACTGCCGTTCAGTCCGGTGATGGCGTTAAAAAACGGATCAAATCCGTTAATCTCCGTCCTTTCGGCGTAGGACTTGAAGCCCTCTAGTACAATAGACTTTATGTACATTTCGATAAACCACCGTATGCGTAAAATAAAATAAAACCGCTATACGCTGCTATATTTTTCGTGATAATAACCTCAAAAGAACTTCGGCGTTGCTTTCACTTCAACCATCCAAACTTGAAATTTGGCGCCAGGCGCGTTTCCGCTGCGCCGTTATGACCAGATTTAAGTTACTAGTTAAACTACTAACAAATAAATCCACTCGAATCCTGCATATATTTAGACAAAATTATAGTTTATTTAGCAAGAATTCATGTTCATTACAAACAAGTCATTGCCATTGGAAGTGAAATTAATTTATTCTATTGATTCAGGCGACTTTTTAGCCACCCCATTGATGGACCCAAAACATTGAAGCGTGTGTGACGTCAGCATGTCGGTTTGGCTAGTAAGTTCGAAAGGAATGTAGTGTAGTGCACATTTAACCTGTTATATAATATTATCATAATATTTTATTACTCGGCTCAATGGAATAATTGATTCTGGCCAGTCGTGGTATTCTATTTTTGTGTAATGATCGGTAAACCATATTTGCTGGATAGTTGTGCTTGTTCTGTTATCACGAACTCTTGTTTCTTTTTACGAAATAAAAACTTTTAATCCAAATTCAAATATTTTATTACCATTTATATACTTATTTGGTAAGTAGCTGTACATTTCGCCGTAAATATGTTATTAATTTGCCTACTTTTAATACATCACAAGATGCAAATCCTTTGGTACCAAGAATATTATGCATGCAAACAATTAAAGCTGTCTTGCACACAGTGACAAATATTTAGAAAACTTTCCATATGTTTAATTTGCTAAAATTGTGCTTAATTGATGAACGTCACAGTATTTTATTCAATAAAGCACACTGCAGAAGAAATGAGAAAACATTCGATTTTTCACCAGATGACAAGATTATTAATATTCACAAGTTTGTCTCACAGTTTTGCTTTTTGAAATGATTAAATGTATTAGTATAGCTTAACTAATGAATCAACTAAAACACATGCAAAACATGTCACAATTTATAACACTTTTAAATAAATACACATTCTTAATATTCAAGTCACAGCGTTACACATCAGAAACACCTTTTTGTGTTGCATTTGCACAAGCACAAATTGGATTTCACCACACCGTGGAGTTATGTTACAGTTACTGTAGGTCTAAGTGCTCAAAGCATGGCTAAGTGCTCAAAACACAAAGCATGGTCTTTGTACACTCCCTAAGGGTATTATAGATTACACTGAAATGAACTTTTTATTGTCAACATCAAGAGTTGAGGTTTTAGGACCAGTTCAAAAGAAATTCCTCAAATAAGAAGACTAATCAAAATGCCTCTATGCCAGAGGCACAGGACACATGGAAAGACACACCAGGTTAAAGGCATAGAAACAGATCTGCGCAAGGACAACACAGTCACCACGATCTGAATACATTGTAGTGGGCTGAATGTACGTCCAGTCATAGTTCTTAAGTTTTAGTGCCGTGTGGTGATACTTCTTGCTCAGGGACAGCAGACAGCGGGCCAGTGTGTATTTCGCAGCACAGCTCACTGCTCTGATGGACCGCACCGAGTCGAAATGCATCAAGAAACGGGGATCATCCTAACACAGCAGAGATATGCAAACTAAACATCTTCCAATGAAAAGTAAGAGATTCTGCTTCCTATTATATTACAACTCATCAGCACCGTTAATATGAACAGCAGTTACTGTAAGTAGCATGTATATTCACAAATTGGAGGAGGATGAATGCTAAACTCAACTCACAGTATCTGGATCTCTACCGTCCAGAATCAGCAGGTCCTCCAGGGCCCAAGTCTCTGTTCTTTCATAACTGTCCTCCAGCCCATATTTCTGCAGCTTATTGGTCCGAGAATGCTTAACTCTCCGGCACAGGACAACTGAGATCTGAGCTTCTTTATCCTTAGTTACTAAACACACATTGGTTTTGTATTTTTATTACACCCCTTCATCAAACCATATCAACCATAAACATATTTAGGTCTGTATTTTTTTTATTTTATTCTTCCTCCTTCACAAACAATTTCTGACCCTATCCCCAGATGAACTCACAGATTTTTTTTTTTTTTTTGAGAATTTTAGTATCTCATCCATTTTCTAAAATAATTTGGTCAATATAACCTAAAATAATTGTGCAAAAAAGTTGATTTTTCTTACTAGAAACGCAGAGAAAATGTCGCCCCTGCTGTTGCTCCTCTATTTCTATAAACTCCTCCAGCTTCTGTCCCTCCGGTCTGAACAAGACTCTGTCCATCTCCTCCCTCAGCAGAGACGACATCTCAGGCAGAAAAAGAGAGAGAAAATTAATTTAAGTGTGAGAGAGAGCAAGAGCAGAGCGAGGGATAAAATGCTTTCTTGAGGTGGATCTGGTTTGCAGGGTTTATCACCCTCCCCTCTCTCTCTCTCTCTCTCTCTCTCTCCCACTCTCAGTTGACAGATGAAACTGTATCTTTTTTGCATTTTCAAAATTTCAAAAGAGGTTTTATTTTATAAATTCAGTTACACTTTTTTAAATTTTCCTGAAGGAAAGACATTTTTTTTGGTCTTCAAAGGCTGTTTGAAATATAATTTTTGAAACTTTTACATGGATGTGTCAGGAATCATCTATAAAAGAATAGTTCACTTAAAATTAGGTGATCCAAGATGTAGATGAGTTTGTTCTTTCAAAACAGAGAAAGTTCGCATTACATCACTAATGGATCAATATCATAATAATCCACAAGTAGTCCACGGTCCATCAGTTAATGTTTTTTGAAGTGAAACCCTTTGTGTTTGTAAAAACCAATCAATCTTTAAGATGTTTTTAACTTCAACCCATTAATAAAATAAAATAATGCTAAAATATCTATAATATTGGTTTATCTCTATAGATAAAGTCGTCCCATGGAGAAGAGAAATATGCACAGATCAATCAACATTAACAAGCGGAAACTGTTCTTAACAAATATGTCAGGGGATTTTGATGTTAGATTACAACAGGGAATTAACTTTTTTTTTTTACTGGATGAAGCGTTAGTATTTATGATGGACTCATATTTTGGCCAGAAGCAACAGTTCACAGGTAAAAAAACACCTTGATGGATTTGTTTCTTACAAACGCACAGCTTTTTGCCTTACTAGATGTTAACTGATGGACTGGAGTCATGTGTGTTATTTGAGGATTATTGTGATGTTTTTATCAGCTGTTTGGACTCTCATTCTGATGGCACCCATTCACTGCAGAGGATCCAAATTTCTCCAAATCTGTTCTGATGAAGAAACAAACTCATCTACATCTTGGACATTTACATTTTCAGCAAATTTTCATTTTTTTGGGTAAACTATTCCATTAAATGTAATTTGTGTACTGTGTGTGTTGCCACAAAACATTTTTTTTTTACATAATTTTGTTCAATATTTTTCAGAATAACATCACTCAGGGTATATTAAAACAAAGTAATAGCTGATAATATATTTTTGGACTATTGTATTATGCAATGGATTCAAAACCAAATAAATTAGCAAATGTTGTATCAATATTTGTCTTTACATTAGATTTCCTGCTTTTAAATATACACATTAATATTTGAGCATTTTCGCCCACCAAATAATATTTCATGTATTTTATAAAAGTCGTTTTTGTTTGCTTTTTTCACAATGATACAGACCTCCAACAATACAAGCTTGAAATCATGTGTGGACTCACATATTCTTTCCTCTTCTTTTCATCTCTGTTCTTTATTGAATTTTCTCTCCCCCTTTTTCTTAACCTACTACATGTGAATGCTTTTAAAGTTTTATAACCTGATCACGCACACACACGCACTAACAAACTCAAAACCTGGTTTAGATGAGCTATGTCTGACTGATTGTACTAAAATGGCCTTGAGGGAAAATACATCATTAGTTATTATGAAAACACATTTCCCTCTTAAATCTCCATCATAAGAGGTGCAGTTAGAACCCATTATAATCTCTACAGGGACAGCCCACGTATTGACTGTGGCCCCATCAACCTACAAAGATTCGATATCCAACGGATCTACAGATGCATAATTTATATTCACAAAACACGTTCATTCATACAAGTGTTCTGATTGCATCTGATAAAGACTTTTTGGTGGCCATAGAGGCCTTCTTGTTATCCATCTGTGTTTTCAGAAGGCTAACAGATTAATCATGTACAAAATTCGGCTGTCTGAGCCTATACACTCAGGTACAATTTACCCAGTCCAAATAGAGGAAATGACCTCTGCTTTTGGTCTTCAGAGTAGGTTTTAGTTGGTCTTTGAGGCTTTGTTTGTGGCCGCTGTTACAGTCAGTTCTAAAGGATGGTCATGAGGTAGAAGATTCGTTTTTTTATGCTCCCATGTGCATTTCCTTAGGTAATGGAGTAGTAATGTCTTGATAGTTCACCCAAAAATGACACTCACCATAATGTCGTTCCAAACATAATGTCGTTCCAAACATAATGTCGTTCCAGAAGATATTTTGAAGAATGTTTGTAACCATATAGTTTTGATTTGTTACCACTGACGTCTACAGTGTAATTGTTTAAAAAAAAAAGTCACTTTAGATAAAAGTTCAGCTAAATGGCTGTGCTTTTCTATCCATATTATAGTGTCTCAGAACACCAAACCACAGATAAACCCCTTTTCCAGTACTTCATCTTCACTATATTTTGTGGAGCTGAAGACTACATCTATGTAAAATTCAGAGTCTGAATCTGGTTAAAAACAATAGAATGCTCTGAGGTACTCCAAGATATAATTTATTGATTTGGCAATGTCCAATAAACTTTGCCGGGAATGAGTCCAAGGATTTCCAAATGTAAATCATAGTCAATGGACTAAAACAAAGTGAGGTTCCTTCGCGAAACTAAAGCATTTACAGTCCAAAAGTATGCATATTATGGCCATAACTTCACAACAACATCTAGTATTTTGTCTCAATAAAACATGTAAAAATAAATTAGCATACAAACCTTATTTTATCTCTCTAATCCTATATGGATGCCCATTTTTGCCATGGAATAAAAAAATTAAAAAAGGTAATTGCAAGTTGTTTCTCTCACAATTGCCAGTTTATACTTCACAATTCTGACTTTTCTCGCAGTTCGGACTTCTGAGTCAACATTTTGCAATTCTGAGAAAAAAATCATACTTGTTAGATATAAACCCACAATTCTAAAAAACAAAAAACGGTCACTGAGTTTATGTCTTGTAATTCTGCCATTTTTTTCTTGAAATTGCAAGTTTATATCTAGCAATTCTTTTCTGTGTAGCGTCTGGACCAATCAAAAACACAATTTTTCATTTGATTTAACAAATCAGTTATTCATTAGATTAACAAGTCGTCACAGACCCCTCGCCCAACGAGCTGATTCGCTACATCTGTATGAATTGTAAGATTTAAAAAGTCGCAAATATCTTTTTATTATACATATCTTTTTAATTCTGTGGAATATTTATTCAGAAAAGGCTTCCACAATAATTTGTAACTCCGGTGCACATTAAAACAGCAATGCAGTTATTATTTCACTTCAAAACTATAATTGTTTAGGAATTTCCACTCCAAGCTCACATTCTAAAAAAATGTATAATAAATAAAAATTAAAATAATTAAATAAATAAATAAATATTAAAATAAATCACTAATGAGTTTCAAACTAGCCATTTTACCAGTAAATGTCATTAAACCATATTCATGTGTTAGGTCAAGTAAAGACATAAACTTTAATATATTGTATATAACTTTTGTAAAATGAAAATATTATTCTAATATTATTTTAAACAGCAAAAGGCTGAACAGCCCACAAAAAGCAACAGTTTGCATAAAGGATCATGAAGATATTGTATTTATGAGGATTTATTTCCTTTCAAAATCTCTAGAGCCTTTTTGATCACTGGAGAGACTGCTTGCACATTTAGGGATTCATAAAACAAGCCACAGTTTTCATTTTATATTCATAATGTCTGTGTGTGGAATTCACTTGCACACATATTTACTCTGTTTGTCTTTCTCTAGAAAGAATGTGATCAATAATTTCCAATGAGCAAAAGTCAATAACTGACACGAAGGGACTACGTTTACGTCCAGGGAACAGTTCTATTAGATTTTTCATGCTTATGTGAGTGTGATGCTAATGGTTGAGTGCTGTGGGATAGATATCCTGTGTCCCACCCACACACATACACTGAGGTTTCCATCCACTTTTCCCCACAAAAATGCATCCAAACGTCATAACGCATGCAATATTTACCAATTTGCCAACTGTAATTTCCATTAACCCTCATCCATAATACCACTTCTATCTATCTATCTATCTATCTATCTATCTATACACACACACACACACACACACACACATATATGTATATATTATATTTAGTGGGTTTTCCCATTATATACAATGAAATCGATGTCCTGGCATATTTTTATTTGAAACCCCATAACATTATGTTAATTTATAACAAACTATTTGAAAATTAATCAGATTTAAATGATCATTACAACATGTTATCATATTTCCATAAGGGTGTTAAATTTGATCACTAAATTAATGTCACCAAAAAGACCAAGGAGAGGGAGTGATCATGGTGAAACTTCCAAACATTTGGTATCTCTAAAAAAAAAACTGTATGTGCTCGTTACAGGACATCCAGAGTTAGAAATGTGACATGTAAGATCTCATAGAAATCGTTAAAAAATAATGTCAGATAAATCTAGTCAGGAGGATAGGGTACAATAATATGAGTCAGGCCCGCATTTGTTAAAACCGCTATACAATGGTCAAAACGTGTAGTTCACATATGGGCAACAAACTGCTGTAAGAGGGCAGCTTGGTATCATTGACAGAAAAATGAATTCCTACGATTATCAGGACATTCTGCAATCTAATGTAAAGACCATCTGTTAGTGTTCACCAACTGAAGCTCAACAGAAGCTGAGTGATGTGGCAGGACAACGACCCCAAGCACAGGAGTAAACAAACCAACAACAGAACGTAAAATCCAATGTTTACAATGGGGAAATATAAATACTGTATATCATTACTATAGAATCTGGTAGTAGCCTAATATCCAGATAAACTTTTCATTAGGATCATAGACAAAAATCAGTTTATGATATTTACGATCATTTATGATGTCTCTAGAGGTATCACTATAAATCTATAAGCAGAGAGAAATATGTAGGCTACTAATATAAATATAAGTTGCGACTATATAATGAAGGAAGATTGTTGAATACCCCTCACAAAAAAGTACTGTGGCAGTATAGTGCAGTCACAGTGATGGG